GCCAGAAGTACAAATGAAGATAAAAGGAAGGGCCTCCTGTGTTTCGAAAGGAAGGAACATTAACATCGGTTAGGTTCATGGATCTAAAGTGAGCAGGAGGCAGGGCCCACTCCAGGGACTGTTCCCCTGAAGGACTGTCAGCGTGCGCTGAGATTGCTGCCCCGCTGCAGTGACCTTGGGGAGTCGGGGGCTCTGGGCGGTGCTGACACTTTGGTTTTGCCACCGAGTGCGAGAGTGTTGCTTTGCGCGGCTCAGTGCGATGCTCCTTCTGCTAACTTGCTTTCTGCGTTACCCATCCCTTTACAAGCATTTTTTATAAAGACTTTTTAGAGCCACAGTTGACCTCATACAACTTCAATGTCAGAACCTCATTTTCCGATGGAGAATTGGGACTCAGAACAATAAAATAGTTCATTTCTCTGCAACCAGTCCGCTCTTCTAGACTGAGGAAGTTGCAGAAGGCCATTTCAAGCGGTAACTCGGCAACCCAGATGTCACCTCACCCAGTAAGCGTAGTTTCTCCCTGTGATTTCGCCCTTTATGCCTGTTCGCTCGTCACTCCAAACAGAACATTCACTCTGATGATTCAGCTTCTACTGCTCCACCTAGAAGGTGACCACGACATTTATCATCCGAGTCAGGGCATCTGTGTGACTCCCTGGGGGGCACTCTTGATGATTACCTTGGGTCACAGGTGTCAGCCAAGACTTCTGAGCAAGGCAGGGTGTGTGGTCGCATTGCCAGAACGCAAGCTCTTCGGAAAAGCCACACGTACTGGTACTTAGTGCGTAATGAATCCTGGCTCTTCCTCGGGAGTGGGCTGGGAAGTGGGCATTGCTGCTCGCTGCTCCCTCACAGCCTCCTTAGTGTAAGGGCAGAGCCCGGCCGTTTCCAGCCCTGCCCTCTGCCACAGTCACCTGACAGACACAGTCAGGAGGAAGGGCGCCAAAGCCAGAGGTCACTTTCTTACAAAAGAGTCACCTCTGTTTAGGACGCGCGGTGCTTTTCCTTCACAAGTTAGAGCAGCTCATTCGCTAACTCTGATGTCCTGAAGGGCTAACAGTGGGCTCCCTGGTTGACCCCTCTCTATTTCCTGAAAACACAGACCCCCCACCCGCACACACGCACCTTTTTATCAACGAAAATTCTGAAAACTTGAAGTATGAGGAAAATTAATTTCCTTGTTTGATCAAAAGTGAAATCTCAAATGCCAGGCAGCCATGGTGTCCACACTGTCGCTTTGTCATTGGGGACCTTTAAGGATCGGGGCTGAGAGCAAATACACAGGATTTGCTGTGTTGGTGCCAAATTATGGAGTCAAGTCTGCCTAGGCCCCTGTCGTTTGAGGAGTTCATGGGCTCTGGGGTTGAACCTGTCTTCAACCACACTGACCTTGACCACTCCAAAGGCTGGCTTATCCTTCCTAAAGCCGTGTTAAAAATATAAAGACCTGCTTACAGGACAGTAGGTGACCACATTAACCATGTGTAGTATAGAAAGAACATTTGCTCTTTGCCTTTCTGTCACCTCACGCTTTATTGTCTCAGGANGGACAGTAGGTGACCACATTAACCATGTGTAGTATAGAAAGAACATTTGCTCTTTGCCTTTCTGTCACCTCACGCTTTATTGTCTCAGGACAGGGCAGCCATGGGTGATACTATCTCAGGCAGGCCCTGGACCCTTAAAAAGGCAATGTCTGGTGCCTTATTGTTTACTTTCTCCTGATTTTTCCACTAACTCAAGTCTTGCTCTGACTACACACACACCAGTGAAGGAGGAGGGGAAGGAGAGGAAGGAAAGAAAAGTTGCATCATGTCCTCTTCATACGATGAGGTTTTCAGAAGTTTTTCATTAGTGGCTAAAAGCACATGAGGACACCGCTGTTTGTGCATTTTGTTTCCATTCTGCCTGGAGAACCAACAATATTTCCAAGTGCCCTCTTTTCCTGTCCCGATTGAGAAGCAGATAGCAAGTCCTGTATTTGTCCCTGGGGCTCGCTACGTTTCCCACCTTAGATCGAGCTCCTGGGTGTCACTACTGTGGGACACTATTTGAACTTTAAAAGCCACCTTCCCCAAAATATAGCAGAATCCAATCCAGTTAGGACAAATTAAAGAAATAGTCCAGTGAAAACCTTTATTTTAATAGTTGGCCATGGAAAAAACTAGAGTCATGTTTAAAGGAAAGAGCATAGCTATTTATTATTGATGAGTGACTATCCAGTAAAATTAAACAGAAAAATGTCTAAAGGCTAAACTGAAATTGAAGTCAAATAAAGGTCAGCAAGATAGAGTTCTTGCCTTAAAAAGCATGAATCTTTCTTTCCATAACTATTATTTTCATATGTCTCCAAACTGTACTCTAAAAGATATAAAGGCAGATATGCCAAGCATATTGCTCTCAGTGATCTTACAAAGAAAGGGAATGAAATAAATACCAATAATATGCAGTGCACCCAAAACAGTGCAACTCCAAACGTTACCTTATATGATTCTCATGAACATTTAGTGACTGCTTATTTTCAGAACCTTTAAAACTGTCTAGCACACAGTAGTAAGCACCATACAATTGTTCGTTAAGTCAGTATCAATGCATACAATATGTGCTCTAAGTTAGGCAGAAGGAGACATGACATATGAAAATTGTAGATAGATAACAAATGGTTAATAATAATACCCAGGAAGTTTTCATAAAGAAGGACACATAGGAGGGATGGGAAAATTGAGAACAGAACTTATTAAAGTTACTAAAGCAAAATGAAACACCATCAGCCCAGGCACGGGTTTGAGATAAATTCATAAACCAGTGAACAGACGCAGGTGCCAGGAGTATAGGATGGAAGATGGGCTTTAAAAGGGAGGGAGGTAGTAATGGGACACGGAACGCTCTTGTGGTATTTGTTACTATTACAGTATTTGGTGATACTTAAAAGGAGACAAATCCTTTTTGAAGTCATCAGTCTTACCAGAGTGTCCGACACATAGCTTCGTAATGGTCAGAGGGACTCTCATTCACAGCTGTAGCAATGACTCCTGTTGCTGCAANACGCTCTTGTGGTATTTGTTACTATTACAGTATTTGGTGATACTTAAAAGGAGACAAATCCTTTTTGAAGTCATCAGTCTTACCAGAGTGTCCGACACATAGCTTCGTAATGGTCACAGGGACTCTCATTCACAGCTGTAGCAGTGACTCCTGTTGCTGCAGTGTTATTCTTACACCATGGATTCCTGATAAGGTAAGAAATGCTTGGCATTGATGTAGCTTTTCACATTCAATTTGGAGCCCTTAGTCTAGAAGCTGTGATTGATTACAGACTTGGCCATCTGTTTAGCCAGTAGTTACTTAGAATCATCTCCTTTCTCACTTTTCCCCCCACATCAAGCTTATAGAGAAATACCTGGTGGAGTATAAGAGTCAACTCTCTTTCCTTCTCTTGGAGCTGAAGTGCTTCCTCTGTGTTCTGTCTCCAGCTCACACCTCCTCTGCTGGTAGACTGGGAGCTGACTGAGGGCAGCGTCCATCGCATGCACCCTTGGAGCCCCAGGATCTAGCACAGAGCATCCCGCAGTAAATCCTTGTGAACTACAGTTCACATTGGCTTAGTTGGATGGATTGGGTTGGGTCGCATAGGATAAGATCACGGTGAATAGAAAGGAAAGCACGTCTCCCTTTCTTATTTTTAAAACAATTTTTTATTTGGGGATAAAGTGAAAAATGCATAGAATGTCATTTATTACATATTTCAAATGGTCCTTCTCTATTATCAGTTCTTTCAAACTGCTTTGGGTGTAGACTGCTACAGAGAGCCTGAATCCAACCAGGTAGATTCAGTTAGAAAACTGGAAGTGTGTTTCATCATGGTGAGCCAAAGAATTATGAGGATAAGTTCCATCAGGGTGCATTACTCAGCATGATACTAACAGTAAGGGAAAAGTTTTAAATCCTGTTTCAAAATAGCTCATCATATGTACGTTGTGAAAACATTTTTGTACAGATGCAGAGACACAGAAAGGCTTCTTGTAGAGGAAACATACGAGACTTTTACTGCAGTTAGTTTGCCTTAAGAGATGGGAAAAAAACCTAGCTTGTCATAGAGCAAATTGATGTAACACCTAGATGAGCACATGTGTATATTTGCGTCATAGGAAAAGATCCTTGAGGTGTAAATAATATGCCACATTTAGTTGCTAAGGAACTGTTTCTACCCATTATCAAAGTATTACTAAAAGGACAGTCTTCTAACAAAGGGTTGTGCTCCAAGTGCCTCATTGTTTAGCCAGTGCTGTTTAAATCCACACACTTGGAACAAATAAAAGTTCTAATAGTTTCTCAGAAATGAACAGTGGCCTATGGATGTGTCACTAAAATAATTAAAAATAATTAAGAAGTAAGGTAGAAAAGAACTTTTTATATTATATTTTTCCATTCCCCTTATTATCTCACACAATGATTGGGAAAGTCTTCTCCCTGAAAATCATATTAGGCCTGATAAATATGAAAATGAAAAAGAACCATGTTATTTGTATTTGAAGAAAGTTCCTAAGGCAGAGTCAGACATGCAGTTAACACCGTGTGTGTAAACCCCTCGTGCGTGTGCTTTTCGCTCTCTTTTATTGATAAAAACTATTCCTTCCAACCTGGGTGATGCTCAGAAAAAGTCTATGTTCTCATCTAGATTGATTTTCCTTTTGCCTGTTCCTGTCGGTCTCAGTGGATGTAGCTAAAGAGTATTCTCTGGAGCTGCTGCAATAAGTTGTAAGTGGGGAAAATATTTTATTCTAGACTTACAAGACCTTGGAGACTATGAAGATTCGAGGATGATTTTTTCAGACGTTAAATAGAGTAAGCCAGACGTAAAAGGGTCGATACAGAATGATTCTACCTATGTCAGGCTCAAAAACAGGCACAACTAATCCGAGGTACTGTCAGGATGGCAGTCATTTACCCCGGGGTCAGACCTCTGGGATGCTGGTCACGGTGTTGTTTCTAGGTGAGGATTCTGCTAAACTGAGTGGGCTCAGTCTGTGAATATTTATTAGCTGTTCATTCATCCTTTGGGTATACGCTATACCTCCATAAAAAGGCTAAAATAAAATAAATATAATAATAGAAATGAAAAGCACTCAAATTTCCTTTTGCTAATTCCCATGGTATATTCTAAAAAGCTGGTGTTCGTCTCAGATCACAGTACTTGTGTTTTCCCAAATCCTAAGGCTATGTACCAGCAGGACCAGAATTTTGAATCTTCTGTTTCTATGTCTTGTGATTATTTTTTTTATTTTTTTTTTGCCAATCACAAGCTGGGCTAACCTGTAAGGCCCATGACACAGCCCGCTGGCTGGAAGCCTGTCACCCTTCCTGTATGAACTGACACTCTTTGCCATGTTAACAGGTGAGCTGTGTGAGGAGAAGCTGAACTTCTGTGCCCAGGACCTGAACCCCTGCCAGCACGACTCCAAGTGCATCCTGACGCCAAAGGGAGTCAAGTAAGTTGGGGGCCCCTCGCTGCTTACAACTGGGGGCTGCCCTCTTCTAGGAACTCCTCTTCTCCACTCTCCTTTCCCGATCTAGCCCCACACCTTTGCTCGGGATTAAAGGGACATTTTTTCAGTACACTGAAAAAATAAGAGAGTGTTTCCTTTTTTCCATGACTCTTCCTAGGAAGGCATGTATGAAATAAAATAGCCTTTGACTATACGAAAATTTATTTGAAGGCCAGATAAATTTGTAATATCTCATAGGTGCTGTATTATTTGAATGTAAGTCTGGTAAAATGGGAAGTTTAATTTAATGTAACTGAACATTTGTTAATCGGTGGCAATACTTTAACTACCCAAGGCGAGGAAGGCGGAGGGACCCTGTGCCCCAGGTTGTCCTGGGACGTCCCAGTTTATGCCTGTGGTCTCAGTGCAGGGAGTGATAGTGCCCCTCCCTGCCATACAGCTTGTGTGGGATGGTAAAGCATCTGGCCTCTCTGGGTAGACGGCTCCTTCCACTGGACTCAGAACTTCAAAATCATCTTTTATGCCCTCCCCAGCAATCTTCCTGAAATTTGTTTGCTATCAAATTAAGTGACACCTTTGCCACAATCCTAAAATATTTTAAGGGTCTGTCAACAGCAACTTCTCTTCTCAGAAACAGCAGTAGTTTAGACATCTTCTTGCCCAAGTTTCTCCTTTTGAACGTGAGGAAACCATGGCCCAACACGACCAGTGGCTGTCCAAGTATCTCGAGGTTATTTACTGGCAGAGCTGGAGCTCAGGCACATACTCCCGGCTGAGTGATTTTTCTAACACAGGTTACCTCTCACAACATTTGGCCTTCATTGACATTGCAGTTGGTTTATTATAGAAGGGGAGCTGCATTCTCAGGGGTGACACAGCCGGGTTCAGGAGCTGAGCTGTGCTTACATCAGACAACTGGCAAATACCATGATTTGTTCCTTTAAGCAATGGTTATTGAGAACCTGCCGTGGGTCAGGGCACATGGCAATATTACCACCTTATGTTTTTATGCTGCTCACTTATGTTATAGCTACTCACTTTCACATACTTGATCTTCTCAGTGAAATGACTCTGGTTTAATTGCCGTAGGATTCAGAGAATTAAAAATGACTCAGGTCAAGAACAGTTTTAGGAAACGAGATGGGATTCGAGCTGGGACTCATAACATACTGCAATTTGTCAACAGATCCTCAGACAATCTGTAGGCTGGGAAGTAGGGGTCAGTATTACCTAGACTCCCACTGCCTTTAAAGATCAGTCCGAAAAAAAATGTTTATTCTCAAGTTTTATTTAATTTTTTGACTCACCTTGGTTTAAAATTTATCATTTTAGAATATACAGATACAGTTGCAATAGCTGCAGATTCCATTTGATGACTTATTGAAAAAGAAAAGAATACCCTTGATTCTACTTTTCATATTTTAGTTTACAATCCTATTTAAAAACCAAAAGTCTTATTGAATTCTTTAGTTTATAGAAAACTATGCATTGCATGTTTGTTCATCTAAATACTGTATATAAACTAGTTGAACGCCTAATGTCTTTGATCTGCCCACAATTGAACTTGACAACTTAAAAGTCCATCACATACATAACAAATATTATCATTTCTTAGATAAATTTGTCAGTAAAGGTGGTTTTCCACAACAGTTTATCTGCTCTACAGGTTTCACAGGACTTTGTGCAATGTAATTATAAGGCAAAATATTAGTAAGACTTAAGGAAAATCATTACAGCATGAGGAGGTTCATTTTAAAAAAGATGAATATTTAATTTAATGTCTTTTATTACTATCAATTAGATGGCACACTCTTTTTCAGTTACAGTTGACATTCAGTATTATTTTATATTGGTTTCAGGTGTACATCATAGTGGTTAGACACTTATATAATTTACAAAGTGATCCCTCCAATAAGTCTAGTAACCACCTGGCACCGTACATAGTTATTACAATGTTATTGACTATACTTCCTGTGCTGTACTTTATAGTTCTGTGACTGTTCTGTAACTCCCCATTTTTACTACCTAATCCCTTCAATTCTTTTTTACCCAGTCCCACAACCCCACTTCCCCTTTGGCAGCCATCAGTTTGTTCTCTGTATCTATGAGTCTGTTTTGTTTGTTCATTTATTGTGTCCTTTAGATTCCACATATAAGTGAAATCATCCATTATTTGTCTTTTTATTTGTCTGACTTATTTCACTTAGCATAATGACCTCTAGGTCCATTCATGTCACAAATGGCAACATTTCGTTGTTTTCATGACCAAGTAGTATTCCATTGTACATACGTGCCTCAGCTTCTCTACCCGTTGTCCCATCAGGGGGCACCTAGTGCTTCCACGTCTTGGCTATTGTAAATAACACTACAGCAAACAAAGGGGTGCATGTATCTTTTCAAATTAGTGCTTTGGATTTCTTTGGATAAATACCCAGAAGTGGAATTGCTGGGTCATAAGGTAGTTCTGTTTTTAATTTTTTGAGGTTGCACACTCTTAAAAGTGCATCTTTTTGGATTATGGGTTCGCTGATTTGGGAACCCATGGTTTTCAGCAGTAATTTGTGAGCTTGTTTTACAGCTAGATGTAGCTTAGCAGAAAACAGGTGAAGTCACGGTAAATGCTGTTACTCCCATATTATAAATAACTGCACATTGTGGGAAAGGGAGTTGCAAAAAGAAAATGGACTTAAAAAGCGAAACTGTATGAATGCTGCTGAAGAAAAATCTCTACTGACAAGCGTTGTTTGGACAACTTGTACCGTTACTTCAACTTCATTTTCTTATTACTGAGCTGAGAGAGCTGGTTTTACTTCTCTTGCTTTATTATATACCTCATAAATCTCCTAAATTGCTTTGAGATATTTTTAGACCACGATATGCCATAAGCAGTATTTTCAAGCATGCATCTTACTTAGTCAGCTTTTGGGCTTCCAAACAGTATATTTTATAGTCTTTGCTTTCTCCCTCACTCCTTGTCAGATAATGGAGTTGAGGGAATATGATAGGTTTTATTGATAACACAAACTTTAGGAGATTCCTAATTAAGTATTTTCTTCCTGTTTTAAAACTAGATCTTAGATGCAAAGGAAAGACCAGAAAGAAAAAAAAAAGTTGGACATAATGTGACTCCCAGCTCTCATGGGCTTTAGAAATGGTATTTGCAGAGAAGAGAATATAAAATAGCTCTTAGAACAGCCACTGTGGTGAATGTACGGGTCTCTTATCTTTCACTTTGATTTCCTTCCTCAGATAAATAATTCAGAGTGTTTCAAAGTGTTTCTTCTTCCTTGCAATGCTGGGCGCTTCAGCTTGCTCACATCAGCGTGGGTGGAGGCCCCTGGGTTCTGGGTGCCTGTCCATCTGTCTGAGTGTCTGCAGCCGCCTAGGATCCCTTTCACTTCAGACTTATTTACTCTGCTTGTTGTGATTTAGCCCTCAAGCCACTGGCTCTAGGGCAGGCGTGCTTACACAGTGAGCTCATTTCATTTCTTAATTCACACGTGCCAAGCCGAAAGGCTGTGTGTTACCCCATTTATTTTCATTCACCAGTTCTCAGATAGCTCTTAAATCTCGATTTTGCACTTGCAGTCAAAACCCCTGGCATTCAGCAACGTCCACACTCACGTGGGTGTTTTTAATTACCCTCACTCGCTTAAACCCTAGTGGCTTTAAAATAGAAAAGTGGGTAATTGCAACAGCCTAACCCTAAAGGCTTTTAAAGAAGTCTAAAGACTAAATAGAATTATTTAAAAGATACCTGCCACTTATTGATCATGCATTATATATCAAACACTATGTGCATTATTTTACAGATGGTGTTTTATTTAATCTTTTAATAAATCTATGGGATGGAAATGTTTTTATTCTATATATATTACAGATGAGGAAATGAACACTTAGATTAAATAACTTAGTCAAAATGATGTACACGTAGGGATAAAGGCAGGATACAAACCCAGTTCCATCTATCAGCCAAGTCCAAATTCTGTAAAGCTAAACCATAGTTCCCTGGTTTGTTGAGTTTCAAAGTCATCAACCTCCCCCCCCCATTTTTTTAATTGACTTTAGAGAGAGAGGAAGGGGGAGAGAGAGGAGGAAAAAAAAAACATGTCAATATGAGAGAGAAACTTAGATTGGTTGCCTCCTGTACCCACCGGGACCAGGGATCAAACCCCAACCTGGGCATGTGTCCCAATCGCGAATTGAACCGGCGACCCTTCGGTGCACAAGACGATGCCGAAGCAGCTGAGCCACACCGGCCAGGGCTAGCAAACCCTTTCTTAAACCTAAACCAGAAATGCTCATGGAAGCCCAATGTGTAAAACTCATAAATTGCAATATGAGAGTGCTGGGGGCAGATGGAGGGTGGAGAGAAGCTACCAGAAGCACCCCCTGCCCCCGCTGTGGCCATATCTGTAGGGTTCCATGGTCCCCTGTATCCCCACAAAGCAGAGTTCAGAAACCACTGCACAGGCCACTCAGCAACTCTGCAGCCCTGGGTCCCTGCTGTTGTACTAGAGATCCCAGTGGTCAGCACTAGATGGAGACCGGCAGGCTTTGCAGAGAGCCCTGTGGAATTAATTATCCCACAGCATGTGCAGTGGCTAGAAACCCGGGCTCCCTCGTCAGATTGTTTGCGTTCAGCTTCTGGCTGTGGCGCTTACAAGGCGAATGGCCTTGGGTAAGGCACTTAAACAGTGTGTCCCTTAGTTGCGTCCCCTGTAGAGGGGAGTAATGGCAGCTCCGATGTCACAGGGCTGTGGAGAGCATTCAGCGAGTCCATACGAGCCACATGGTCAGGACAGGGTCTGGCCCAGAGGACGAGCTCAGAGAACAGCAGCCGTGTATCGTCCCTGGGCCCTCATCATCGGGCAGCTGAGACCCCTCCTGCCCCACACCCCCGGCAGGAAGAGGCGAGAAGCTGTCCCAGAGACCAGCCCCAGGAGCTCTGTGGGCTCCCTGCCCCACTCCGTTAG